TCTTGCTGCTTAAACTTGGAACAATATTATACACAAGGAAGGTTGAAACCCTATGCACATTTATTGGGAATAAATCCACAGGACTTGCTCCTGAGCAATTTGACATAGGATGAGACTGAGAACCTACAGATTTGAGAATAGCACTGTGTGCTAGGCATCAGCCAATTTCAAACTTCCTGATAATGCAGGCTAAATCAATTCAAAGTGGGGGGATTTCGAAGCGTCCCTAAAAATGTGGTACCAAAATGGCTGTCATTACAAAGTCAACTCAGTCCCCCGTCATCTATTCCATTTAAAAACCTATATGCGAAAGGAAAGAATTACACGTTGAAATGGGGAAGACATTTCTTGAATTCTCTGCTCAGAACTGTGTCATTCTATTAAAATAGCACTTTATATAAGGAATTATTATTAATAGCCTTGTAATAACAAGCAATTATAGTTCAGGTATAAAACCATAATATAGAAGCAATCATTTTCTCTAATACAGGAATTGGGTAAGTAATAAAATCTATGATTACCAGGACAAAATTACCTTGGAATACTTGTGTATATTCTTACCATACCTATTGTACAAAGCTTAATAATTAAAAAATGATAATTTCCTGTACTTTGTTCTTAGCGCCTTTGCTCACTTGTTGGAACATAGCATAACAGACGATCTGGGATATAAATACAGTATGTGGGCAAAACAATAAATCTTTCATGGTTTTTGGCTTAAACCATGTGGAAAAATGGGCTTTTGTCAACGTAACTGGAAAATAACTTTGCATGTAAAATGCACCTGCTAGGTAAACTGTAACAAACTAGGTTTAATATCAAAGTTACAGTGTCATCAATGTTTCTTTTAACATTACATTTGTGTTTCTTTGTGCCTGGTGTATGTACTGAATATAACTGCACCACCTTCTTCTTCCATCTTCATCACACTTCCCCTGCAGGGGTGTAGGAAGGGGGTTGGGGGAGGTGTGGTCCGCCCCGGGTGTCATCCTTTGGGGGGTGCGGTGACAAAATGGCACACTGCGGGGGTCGGCACTTACCACAGGGCCTGGCCTGCAGCGTGCCTGAGCCACGCATCTCTCCTGGGAGTGACGCGGTGGTTTGGGGCCCCGCGCTGCCCAAAATGGCAGCGTGGGGCTTGTGTCTGCCAGGCGGACTCTGTGGGCAGCTCACCGCACCGCCCCCCTGGACGGATCGCTGCGGTGCCCCCATGCGCGAATCCCTGTGGCACCCCCGTGCAGTGCCCCTGTGCGCAGATCGCCGTGGTACCCCTGTGGGCGAATCGCCCCACTTCTGCCGATCCGGGTGCTGAAGCAGCCTAGCTATACCCCTGTTCCCTTGGAGTAAGCCTCATTTCACTCTCAAGCAAGTCATGGACAGAATTGGACTATCACTTATTAATTTTGTTTATCCAATCAATCTGTTCAAAGCTATTGCTGAAAACCATAGATCATCACAATTCAGAGAAGAATCAGGAGATAAATACAATATGTCAAAACAGTATAAAACAAAATGGGTGGGAAACAGCAAAAAAAAGTAGGTTAAGCATTATCACTGAAAAAACCCCAGCAAACTCTGGTAGCTGACCCTTCAAATGGCATAATTCCCAAGTCCTGTTCAGCTTCTTACTGGTCGAGGTTTTCATTTATATTATATTCTTCTTTGAATTTGTAGGAAACTATGGGTAATTACCGTATCTATTTTCTATTTATTTTGTGAAAAAAGAAAAAGGTGGGTACCACTGATCAATGGCTACAATTTCATTCAATTGTACCATGATTTTTCTTCCTAAAGTAATCCTAAAGCAGCCAACATAGGATAAAAGGAAATGCTACTATTTCAAGAGACAAAAAATATGAAAAGAAAATGCTACAGTGTTCTGATAGAGTTTCCATTCAATATGTAAGAAAATATCGATCCAGTTAAGGGACAATGCAAAGTTCATAGACTGTGTATCAATAAACAGAAAGGAAATAACAAAATACTACCCATAATTTTAGTCAAGAAAGTATGCTTCCACATATTCGTCTTGTTCAGTGTAGATTTTGCCATGCCTTCTCAAGTGGAAAGATATGTAAGCTCTGAAGGGTTTTTTGAACATCTCTCAGCTGTAAACTGTATGTGTACACACACGTGTGAAAGATATGTTGAAAAGAATAAAAGTCACCTAAAATATTTACAAATTAATAACTGAAGTGTGACTTATCAGTGGTAAGGGTGTTTGAGGCTATCAAAAGGGATGTGGATGGCACTGTGGTCTAAACCACTGAGCCTCTTGGGCTTGCCCAACAAAAGGTTGGCTGTTTGAATCCCTGCAATGGGGTGTCAGTTGACAGCTTCTTCCTCAGATGAAAACTTGCAGATTTTCCCCAAACACAATTCATAATTTCCCTCCTTTTCTCAACTTTCTGTATGTTCTGTCCATGCTAATAAATGAGTTCACGGGTTAGAAGGGTAGAGAAACAGAGAGACTTTCAGGCATGTCTTAAAGAGGTGGTAATGTTTATTCTTGCTTCTTCTTCTTTTTAACAAGTAAGATCATATGACCAAGAATGCTAAATACCAGCATTGGATTCCATTACTGTGTGCTTTTATGAAATGCCATTAAACATATTTTACAGAACCAATACCTCACAAAAAGGGCTCTCTGTATTAGTGGGGAATAAGAATCAAATAAAATAATATCTCCACTCTGTTCTCTCATAAAAGATAATTTCCTTCTCCAATACTTCAATGTCACCAAAAGTCAGTGTAGATTAATGAATCTGAGAGGGAGAAAATTCCTGTTGTGGGAAATATTTCTGCCATCATGTTCTATAGAAGCCCTGATTAAAATGCATGACCCACATAACTTTCATATTTTCTCTGTTTGAACATTGGTTCTTCAGGACAAAGAGAAAGGGGGAAAGGAAGGAAAGAAGGAAGGAAGGAAAAATTGCAAATTAAATCAGGGATAAGCACTGTCATGCTGGCAGAGACAAGTTCAGTACAGATGATTTATCTACTTAGACAAATAAAATCAGTGTCAGTTCATCCTTCTGAAATGTTCTGATGCCTTTGAGAAAAAAGAAGAAGAAAAAATTAGTTGTAGGCAAATAAAATTTTGCTTTGGTTTAATTTCCCCAAAAGTTTTGTCTATTTTGAAAAGGACAAGAGTTTTCTTAGGTCAGCCCAGCTAGCTAATCTTTCCAAGCAGCTACATGTTACTCTGGCAGCTAGGCCTACATTTGAAAAGGATGCAAATTTCAAATGTCAGAAAAAATTATCCAGCAATATTACTACCAATGGCCTGTGCAAAACCCTTTGCACTCATAACATGCAATGCTTTTATAAAAAAAGAACAACAGCCACCACCACTGAGCTGGTCGATTTATTCCAGAGCACACATACCTTTCCCTCCTCAATATCCTGATGTTATCTCAGAATGTCTGTAGCACTGAGAATTGCCAGCAATTTTTTTTACTCCTAAATACCCTGACATCAGGGGTGCCAACTTGAATAAAATATTTTTTTGGGGAAGAGATAAGCCCTGCCCCACATAATCGATCACAAGATGCAACACACACACACGACACACACACACCACTTGAATGGCAATGCCACACAACTTTGGCGACCCCCGGACCCTTCAAATATTTTATTAGGGGGGTAAAGAGGCCCCCTAGGAGTTGACTCCTAGGCCTGACATTCTGCCAGCATTTGGTCTAAGAACTTGCTAGCAAAGTTTTGCCTGAAACAGAATCAGAATAAAATTTGGGAGTTTCCTCTCAGGTGAAACACTGAAGGTTTTTCAGGGAAATAAGAAGAATTTTAAAAGCTTCAAGAAGACTAATGTGTTTTCTCAAGGAGTTTCATACATTATGGTCAAGGAGACATGCAGACTTGATTGAATTTATTCCACTCTTTTCAGGAAGTGGCATTTTTGTCTTATTAGTAAGATGAGAATTAATAATAATAATAATAATAATAATTTATTTATACCGCACCCATCTGGCTGGGTTTCCCCAGCCACTCTGGGCAGCTTCCAACAAAGATTAAAAATACATCAAAATATCACTAATTAAAAACTTCCCTAAACAGGGCTGCCTTCAGATGTCTTCTAAATGTCAGATAGTTGTTTATCTGTTTGACATCTGGTGGGAGGGCGTTCCACAGGGCGGGTGCCACCACTGAGAAGGCCCTCAATATATCAGCTTTTTGTATTTACTTTTCATCTAGACCCTGGGTGGGGAACGTGTGGTGCTCCAGATATCATCAGACTCCAACTCCCATCAGACCCTTCCAGCATGGCCACTGGTTAGGAGATGATGGGAGTTGTAGTCCAGCAGCCTTTGAAGGACCACAATTTCCCCATCCCTGTTCTAGATACTTGGTGTTATAGATGGGGGAGGACCCCTAAACCCTAGAAATTAATAAATGGTAGGATTTTTATTGCAGTCCATTTGACTTCCAAAACGTTCGGAAACCAAGGTGTGGCTTCCAATTGGCCGCAGGAAGCTCCTGCAGCCAATTGGAACTGCGGAACCCGCGTCGAATGTTCGGGTTCCAAAGAACATTTGCAAAACGGGAAACACTCAATTCTGGGGTTGCAGTGTTCAGGAGCCAAAACATTCAACTTGCAAGGCATTTGGGATCCAAGGTACAACTGTATTTGGGATGTGGAGGGAGAAATATAAGCTGTAGAGGAATTCGTGGGTTAGCCTCTGCAAAAGGACCTGGCCAAGCTAGGGTCATTAAGAAACAAAATAGGGCCATTGAGAGCCATTGCCTGTGCAAGAGTACTGTCCTTTCCCCTTGTCCTGAGATGTGAACAGAGACTGGGGTTTTGGAAGGTTGCCAGGGTAACTGGGTGTGAGGTGACAGGAAAAGAGGGGTTTTAGCAGGGTATTCTTCTTAGTCACACTTCTTTGAAGTCTCTCAGCCTCAGATCCAAAACTCCTACTCCTCCATCCCTCCAGCGCCCCTTGGCAACTCCAAAACAAGGGAGGGGGTGGTGGAAAATGTCCTCTGACTCCCCCATCGCCCTGCTCCCTGGTGTGGTGGTGGCGATCAAGCAGGAAAACGTGCTGGCGGACATGCTCTCCGGTGTCGGGGCGCCTGAGAAGGCAGCCCGGGAAGTCTGCACACCACCTTTCACCAGGAAGCAGGAGGAGGACAACCACCAGGAGCAGGGCCATCCTTAGCAGATGCAGAGGCTTGGGAGGGAAGCTAAGCCTCTGTGGGAATCGCTCTCCTTCTGCAGAGGCTTGGGAAGGAAGCTGCATGCCTGCCAGCCATATAGTTGGCGGGGCGCAGCTGGTGGGCATGCAGGGAAAGGGCAGGCACTAAGACCAATGGGAAAGACAGCTCTGCCTTTGCTGTGTGTTTTCTGTGAAGAGCAATGCATTTTGATGTTCTGGACAATACTTTATGAGCCAAAAAAGGAACACTATTGCCAGTGTCCCCCACTCTGAAAGGCTCAAGAGTTGTACAGAAAATGGATGATTGAGGTATGTCTCCCTCTTTTTTAGTTAGACTGGGTAGTTAACACCTGTCTTCACATCTGCCTCACAAAGACTTCCGCTTAAAGTTGTCCTTTAAAAGGCATTCAAGGTTTCTTCAGAAACAGTAGCATGAGGTGAAAGGAAGTGGCCTAGCATCCTATTGGTAGAAGACTCAAATCAGGTACTGTAGAAATTAGTTTACATGCTATCTCCAGGACTGAGATACAAAGACTGAATGCCTGGTTTTATAATAGAATCACAAGTACAGAAGGAAGCTGACTTGCAAGTCTATCCACTGAGCTCAGGGAGATGTGGCAAAGGGTTAAATTAGATTGCATTTTCTTTATTTTAAATTCATAAACCAGTGACACTAGTGATAAATAAGCATCCATCAAGCAAAACAGTCTCACGCTGCATAACTGCCTCTTTGGCTCGATACATTAGAAAACGAATAGATGGCATTTGACTGAAAGGTCTGTTTCAAAACTGCAAGAGGCATCTTTTTAAAGCTGCAAAAGGCATCTTTTGTCAATTCATAACTTCTCTAAAAGGGTATATTTACATTCCGTAACACTGTATTCTCACATAATAAATTACATGTGGGTTAGGCGACAAAGCAAAGCTTTAGAAAGGGGTCATGTGTATAAAGATAGACTCAACATCTGCTTATCCTATTTATTTAAAATATCAAAATGGCATGGGGATAAGGAGATAGGGCTGTAGCTCATGCAGGCAGAAGGCCCCAGGTCACGGGTAGTGGCTGGAAATGTCCACCGTCTGAAATCTTCAACCCCCTTGCACAAGATAAAAACAAAACAATGAACACAGCCAATTAAAACTCTGCTCTAGTAATCCACAGTACAGGCCAGAAGGTATTAATTCAGAATAGACTAGCCAGAAGAATGGGGAATAAAAGCTCCCAATATGTAAGATATGTAGGTTTACAATACATTTGGACAATATGCAATCTCTACAGCACCAGGGTCCAATCTCAAACCCTCCAAGCACCCCTATTTTCCAGGGATGTCCCTGATTTAGGGAAACAGTCCCGGTTTCTGATTTGATCCCAGAATGTCCCGCTTTTCCTTGGGATGTCCCTGTTTTCACTGGAGAAATGTTGGAGGGTATGGAGTTATCCGACCCCTGAGCCATCTGAAAGCAATCCTTTACAGTGGTACCTCAGGCTAAGAACTTAATTCGTTCTGGAGGTCCATTCTTAACCTGAAACTGTTCTTAAGCTGAGGTACCACTTTAGCTAATGGGGCCTCCCACTGCCGCCATGCTGCCACCGCATGATATCTGTTCTCATCCTGAAGCAAAGTTCTTAACCCGAGGTACTATTTCTGGGTTAGCGGAGCCTGTAACCTGAGGTACCACTGTATAGTGAAGGCGTCAGGCGAACTTCCCTGGGGAGAGCATTCCACAGACAGGGAACCACTGCACAGAAGGCCTGTTCTTGTGTTGCCACCCTGCTGACCTCTCAAGGAGAAGGCACACGAAGAAGGTCCTCAGAAGATGATCTCAGTGTCCAGGTAGGTTCATAAGGGAAGAGGCGGTCCTTAAGGTATTGCGGTCCTGAGCCGTTTAAGGCTTTATAGGTCAAAACCAGCATTTTGAATTGGGCCCGGAAACTAATCGGTAGCCAGTGCAGTTGGAAATAAAGTGAACATTGTGTCTGTGGTATAATATCTGTAGTGGTCCATGCAAGTCAACAAGTGATCTTCACTTTATTAAGTGATGATCATGCATGTAAGAACCAGTCCTTATATTAGGCATGGGGGAAACCTCTGGCCTCCATGTGTTGTTGATCTATGACTCTCATATATCCCTGACCAGTTGCCATGCTTCTGGAGATGCTGGCAGAGTCCAAGAACATCTGTAGAACTTAGGGGTCTAAGTCTAAAGGGCGTATCTGGTAGTGTCATGATAGAAGATTTAAAATGGGTCTTTCCTGTCTGCCCAAAGTTCAATGCATTTCTTGAATGGAGATTTATATTTAGATAGTTGGTCTGCAAACAGGACACTCAATTCCTTTTATTGCTGAACAACACCTAGCAAATTTAGAGCTTATTTGGCGAGCAGGAACTTAAATAGTATACAAAGTACAGCTGAGACCATTATTGCCTGAATATAAATCCTTGCCCTAACATCAGAAAGAAAAGTCTTCTCTTCAATGGGACCGCAGCTCTTTGAAAACCTGGAGAGGAATCTTGCAGCACGAGGCTATTGTTATCTCTCATTTAAAAAAAATAATATTTTCTGTTAGTGATTCTGATGGATATTTCAAGCTTTTCTTTGAAGACAATGCCATTCAATAACCTTCATTCACTCTCACATGCACCTTTATACACACACACATGTTTTCCATGCTTAGGTAAAGGTAAAGGGACCCCTGGCCATTAGGTCCAGTCATGGCCGACTCTGGGGTTGCTGCGCTCATCTCGCTTTATTGGCTAAGGGAGCCGGCGTACGGCTTCCAGGTCATGTGGCCAGCATGACTAAGTCACTTCTGGCGAACCAGAGCAGCGCATGGAAATGCCATTTACCTTCCCGCCGGAGCAGTACCTATTTATCTACTTGCACTTTGACATGCTTTCGAACTGCTAGGTTGGCAGGAGCAGGGACCGAGCAACAGGAGCTCACCCCGTTGCGGGAATTCGAACCGCCGACCTTCTGATCAGCAAGCCCTAGGCTCTGTGGTTTAACCCACAGCGCCACCTGCATCCTTTCCATGCTTATTTTATGTTAAAGTACAAAAAGAGAGACACAGGTTATATAGTAGTTAAGGTAACTTTCAAATATCCAAACTCTTTGTTCTCAGACCTTAACACATGTCTTAACTGACCTTCCTTTTATTGCTCTTGATACTATTGACTATGGGATCCTCCTAGACAAGGCATAGTCAACATAATGCCTTCCAGATGTTGACAGATTACAGTTCTTGACATCTCTGACCATTAGCCATGTTGACTGGAGTCCAATACCTGGAACACGTCCCATTTGCTATCCCTGTTCTAGACCATATGGCAGGGACCAAAGCACCAAAGTGATCAGTTCCTGCTTTATTAGAACAAAATGTAAAGTTACAAAAGCCTGCAAAGCCTTGCTGACTTGACTCAAGGTGAACACTGAAATAGCCAGTGTTTGCCATTACTGTCTGCACCCAGATAAGCATTTTATGCATTAAAAGGTGGCGGTTGAGTCCACTCAAAGGCGACTATGGGGTGTGGCACTCATCTCGGTTCAGGCCAAGGGAGCTGGCATTTGTCCACAGACAGCTTTCCAGGTCATGTGGCCCGCATGACTAAACTGCTTCCTGCAACAGCGGTACCTAGTTATCTACTTGCACTGGTGTGCTTTCAACTGCTAGGTTGGCAGGAGCTGGGACAGAGCAATGGGAGCTCACCCCACCGTGTGGATTTGAACTGCTGACCTTCTTATCAGCAAGCCCAAGAGGCTCAGTGGTTTAGACCACAGCACCACATGCTCCCCTTTCTGCATTACTTAGACAGCATACAGCAGTTTGGCCAGAACCTCCCATTGTCTACCTGTCTGATAAAGCCATAGATGGCATACATCCAAGCCTTATAAATAGCTCCCCTCCCTAGGCCACTAGCCAAGTGTCCCAATCCCACAGATAGAACAAGCCAAATGGCATATTTCAAAGCAAGTGGATAAACATATGTGAGTTAATTCTTGCAGCACATAACTATTAGTCTCTTGTCTACCAAGATGGCGCTTACAGGCCTTCTGAAACACTTTCTTTCTTTTTTAAAAAATATTTTTTATTAGGAGTTTCAAAATGATAGTCAATCAAAAATACATCATCCTCATTTTCCCCCCATTCTCCCTCCCCAAAAAGAAAACAAAGAAAGAAAAAACAACAACAAAAGGTAAAGGGACCCGTGACCATTAGGTCCAGTCGTGACGGACTTTGGGGTTGCGGCGCTCATCTCGCTCTATAGGCCGAGGGAGCCGGCGTACAGCTTCCAGGTCATGTGGCCAGCATGACTAAGCTGCTTCTGGCAAACCAGAGCAGCGCACGGAAACACCGTGTACCTTCCTGCTGGAGCGGTACCTATTTATCTACTTGCACTCTGATGTGCTTTCGAACTGCTAGGTTGGCAGGTGCAGGGACCGAGCAATGGGAGCTCACCCCGTCGCGGGGATTCGAACCGCCGACCTTCTGATTGGCAAGCCCTAGGCTCTGTGGTTTAACCCACAGCGCCAATAGCTGTTAATAAAAAGCTAATTGCATTCTGTAACTTCTGCGTTGTCCTGCCTTGTGGATGACCTGGGCTCACTTGACAGCTCCCTGACACCCCTTGGACTGGTTGTAAGTAAGATGTTGGGCAGGTGGGGCCTGACTGAGGGCAGATTGAGGTTGGTGGAGCAGAGCCCTATTTGTCCTAATGGAGCATCCTTTACCAAGTGCAGCTCGCTGTGTTATATTGACATAGAATCTAGGGAGACTGCTTTCAGACTGAACCCCTGCCCCCCACTCCCTGTGGCATCCCTGTGTGTGTTCTGCTTTCATCCTAGGACAGGCCAGTTACTTCACGGCACAGCTGTGTTTTGAAACAGGGGTGTCATAAGTCATAGTTCATGCCCTCGACTTTTATGATAAACCAGCGTTATTAGTTTCACAATAAATTATAGTTTTGCACTGGTACGTCCCCTCCCCCATGAAAAAAGACTGG